ATTTCCTGACCAGCTTCCAAAATGCTTCCAGTTGTAAGTTTTGGTAATACTTTAAACATGTCTAAAACAGAATTATCGTCCTTCTGTTGCCCAAAATTACTCTTCCTACAGATGTCCCAATCTTTGCCTATCACTAAGCTGTTCCATTTAGAAAATGTGGAGTTCATTAATTCCTCCATTTCAAGATAATTACCAAATCTTCTCAAGTCTTCCTTTCTCTATATGCCTTCCTTTCTAATGATCAGTGGCATCACCCTCGTTGAGGGCTTTGTTACACCACAGGTGGACTTTTGAAATGGTCTAAGTGGTATCTGTGCCTTCGGAGTCTCATCTGACAAATTCCTTCTGCGAGCCACTGACCATTTTATCTTGTAAAATGCTTTGGCAAACAGCACCTCAGAATCTCAATGGCTCCTGCTGGAATCTTTCAACAAAAATCTTTCAACTTGTAGATTAATTTCTGTAGTCAATAAACTGGGTGGGGCAAATAGTTTGAAAGAGTTTTCTACCCAGTTATAAGGAAAAAGGCCACCTTTCCCACCCTCATGGAGCACACTGTTATACAGGTCTATACCAGTGTGTCTCGATGGGGCAATTTTGGAGGCATTTTTGGTTACAACTCAGGGACGATACTGGTCTGTCACAGGTGGAGGCCAGGGAAGCTGCTAAATATCCTGCAACACACAGGACAGCCCCCCACAATTGAAAATTATCCATCCAGCCCCAAATGTCAATAGTGCCAAGATAGAGAAACCCTGGTCTAGCCCTTAGAAAAGAAGGAATAAAGACAATGCAGGCCTAATACAGAGCTAGTATATGGATACCAGGGAGGGTCTTTATGGTTACTTAGTCTTCCTGGCACCAAAGAGACAGAAGGATGGAAAACAGATATATTTGCATCTGCAAAGAAACTGCCAGTTCTGTACTTGTGAGTGATAAAGTTATAAATGCTTGGGTTTTGGTAAACGAAAGGGCTATTACTCAGACTTTGGGCAACGCTTACGTAGGAAGTGGCAGAATAAACCTGTGCTTGCTTTAATCTGTGACCATTTCTAGCTTCCTAGATTGGAGAAGGCAAAACTACTTGGCAGTTATCAGCTCTGCACTGCTACAAAAGCAAGCACAAACTTAACGCTCTTAACGTGATAATAAGGACTTGCCATCTGAACCCATTCTATCCCTCTGCAAACTTGTCACTTCATCTATCATGGCATATTATTTCTTTAAAAAGCAGAGCATATTCCTACCGGTACACCTTTGCTTATATATCTCCTTGTCTGGAATCTCTACTTCTCTGCTTCTTTACCTGAACCTAAGCCATGCCTCCTTTGGAAGGTCAGTTCAGGCCTCATCTCCTATAAACACTCTGCCCATACTATTTACTTAGCAATAGCAATACACTATCTTCTGTCCTAATATTCATTTTTAACACATTTCCTGACTCTTCAATTAAAAATGTACTTTCCTTTATGTCACGAACCCTGTTGTAAACTCATAGGTCCCCAAGACTTATCCATGTACTTTGCATAAAGCAAGGATCCTCCACCTCCTCCTCTCGCAGTTACTGGTAATGGGTTCTGCCTGGGTTAATAGCTAGTATTTACTGAGTATTTACTATGTGTCAGGAGCTGTCCTAAGTACATAACATCTATTATCTCACTTAATAATGCTGTTCTCCCACTTTGCAGAAAAAGGAAATGGAAGTACAGAGTGAGGAAGTAACTTGTTTGTCATCCTCCAGCAGAAGACAAGAGGGAGAGGGCCAACTTGTCCTTTTATGAAGAACTCATTCTCTAGGTAATGCCATGGCATTAATCCATTTATGAGGGTGGTGTCCCCATGACCCAAACACTTCCCATTAGGCCCCACCTCTGCATCGGGGATCAAGTTTCCTAACACAGAAACTTTGGGGGACACATTCAAACCACAGCACCTACTAAGCTCTCTAGACCTGGATGCCAAATACATGTTCTGAAAAAGTACTGTTGGCTGGGCTCAGTGGTTCACGCCTGTAATCCCAGCACTCTGGGAGGCTGAGGTGGAAGGATTGCTTGAGCTCCGGAGTTTGAGATGAGCCTGAGCAGAGCAAGATCCCGTCTCTACTAAAAATAGAAAAAATTAGCCGGGCATGGTGGCGCATGCCTGTAGTCCCAGCTAGACTTGGGAGGCTGAGGCAGAATGATCACTTGAGGCCAGGAATTTGAGGTTGCTGTGAGCTAGGCTGATGCCACGGTACTCTAACCAGGGCAATAAAGCAAGACTCTGTCTCAATAAATAAATAAAAAGAAAAAGTACTGCTTTGTTGAACAGCAAAAAGCTGAACAACAAGATTTATATCTAATCTAGCAGCTGCTATCCGTCCGACTTTTGGAACCACAGGTTGACTAGGTCCAATTCTCCATTAATAGGGTTGACCAAAAAAATGGACAGGGCATTCTAATCTACCTGCAGGACCTGAGAAGGCACTGCAACCTGACTGTTGTGTAACTTGGGAACAACGGGTATTGTCTCTGAGTTCCTCATTTGCAAAATGAAGACACTAATAACTACGTCATCAGGTTCACAGGAAGGGTAAAGAGCGTAGTGGATGTAAAATGCTGTCCCTGTCCCGCAGTAAGTTTGCAGTAAATGCCGGCTCTCCATTTGCTCCTGGATAGGGACCAAAATTAGCCCTACCTTGCATTTCTCCACCCTTATGCCACTTGTGACCACATGCTCAGAGGCAGGACTCTTTTACCTTTTTGTCTCACATTAGAGATAATTAATTTTATTTGCCTGTTTTACAGGCTTGAGATGTTAAGAAAATTACTAAAATCATGTCAGTATATTGTCACAAAGGAACAGAATTATGTTCTTCTGATTACTGTTTAATACTATTTATAACTGTTGGTTAATAACTTAGCATGGAAAGCTTCCTGGGTTTTACAATTTGACTCTGTTCAAATGCCTTAAAATGTCCTCATTCCCCTTGTGCTGCAGTGTTCTCACCTCTCCTGTTCCCTCCTAAACCCTAACCCAGTTTCCAGAAAGCCTGTCTCTTCCCCAATGGTCTAGTCCTCTACCTCCAGTGAGCCAACAGGATGACTGTGGACTTATTAGGATTTGTTCCATGTCTAAATCATAAGAGGTTAGTTGGATATGGTTCTAAACCCATCACTAAAAGACAAACTTTTTGAAGGTAGGGTGTTTTACTCATTATTATATCTGCCATAGCACACAATGCCTCATGCATGGCAGGGCAGTAAGAGCTAACATTTACTGAGAGCTGACTAAACCCAGCACTATTCTAAGTACCTTACACGGCCATATGAACAACCCTACAGAACAGGTACAATTAATCTTGATAACAACCCTATGGAATAGGTACAATTATTCTTCCCATTTCACAGACCAAGTAACTGAGACACAAAGAGTGTTAAGTAAGCTCTCCAACGTTATACCACTACAAAGTGAGAGAACATGGGTTCAAACCCAAGAAGTCTGGCTGCAGAACTCACAATCTTAACTACTATGCTACAGTCAACATTCAATCAATTACATTAGCTGATTTATGTAAAAGAGCTTCAAAAACTATAAAGGACTATAAGCCACAATAAAACAACAAATCCAAGCAAAATTGGTCTCTGGTATCTCTAAAGAGGAGGCAGTAGGGCTTGAAGGTTAAGTTTAGAATCAGATCAGACTTTGAATACCAGCTGTATCACTTTCTGGCTTTGGCTTAATCTTTCTCAGCATCAACCTATGAATCTGCAAGATTAACTACCTGCTAAGAAGTAATTAATCCTTAAGAATTAAGTGAGATGACTCAGATGCAACACCAAGAAAGAACATGCTTGCCACAGAGTATTAAGTCATTAAATGTTGGCTCTAGAACAGAGTCGAATTGTAAAACCAAAGAAACTTTCTTTGCCAAGTTATTAACCAACAATTATAAACAGTATTAAACAGTAATCATAAGAACATATTTCTGTTCCTTTGTGACAATACACTGACATAACTTTATTAATTTTCTTAACACCTCAAGCCTGTAAAACAGTCAAATAACATTAATTATCTCTGATGTGAGACAAAAAGGTTAAAAAGTCTGCCTCCAGGCATAAGACTGAGGGAACAGGTGAAAAGCCTTCAACTCATTAAAGCAAATGCAAAGAAAGTATAAAAATTTCTGAAGCGTCAGCAGTGGGACAATTCCCAATGAATTGCACAAACACAAGTGTATACAAATGTGTGAGAGTTCTGGAAAGCATGCCGTAGAGATGTTTAATGTGGCAATGACAACCCTGACACAGGGCTGTGAAAGAATCAACAGCTTGTGTAGGTCCAGAGATCAGAATTAAGTACAACAGAAGGATGGTTTTAGCTCAAGTTCACGGTTTCACCCTGGGCGATGGTAAGACCGTCCAGGGAAAATACTCAGGCTCTCGCCATGAGATAAGGAGCAGAGGGAATTCCCGGCCTGTAAGTCCGAACAACTCCGAAGTCCCTTACTTTTCGAGTGGGACCGTGGAAGGGAGGGCAAGGAGACGCTCTGCTCAGAATGAGACTGGGTCTACATTATAACAATCTTTTGCGGGGGGAGAAGGTGGGTTAGGGCATCGGAGAGGTGACATCTATGCACCGATGAGATCCGAGACTCAGTGGCTCTCAGGAGCCAAAGGCCTGCAAAGGGCATCTTGCCGACGCGGCTCTCCGACTCCATGCAAGGTGCTTGCTTCTCCACAGCTTCTAGACCAGCTCCCAGGCCCCTTCCCACAAGCTGCTGCCCCCAGCCCTCCCTAAAAAAGCCGAGGCCAGTTGTGCCGGAGGCCTGGAGGGAGGTCCGGGGGTAAAGGGTCTGAGGTCGGCCCGCAGGTAAAGGGTCTGAGGAGACGGGCCCGCGGGAGGGAGGGAGGTGCGGGCTCAGGACGTGGAGCGGGGCTCAATCCGGCGCTCCGGGCCCGTCAGGAGAAGGCCCCGCGTTCGCCCTGAGTCCCCAGGACGCCCGCGACGAACGCACTCACCAGCCCGCTGCTGCGCAGCAGCCGAACCGCCAAACCCTGCATCCTTGCTACCGGCCAGGTCGCTACTCTCTCCTGCGCTCCCCAGGGCAGCGCGTCAGCGCCCGGGTACAGAGCCAGGGCCCCGCCCCTCACACACCCCGCCCCGCACACACCCCCGCCCCCCAACATCCCCGAGACCCCACCCCCTCAGGCCTACGGAACACCAAGAGAGACACACAACTCTCTCCTCTGCCTTCGCCCTATGTCCTGCTCACGCGAGACTTCGGAAGGCAGGGGGGCGGGAAGGGAGCGAGAGACACAACAAACATGGCGGCGGCTGCGACGGTGACGAAGACGGCGGCGGCGGCGACGACGGCAGAGGCGTTGAACAAGGTGGTGGGGGTTACTCGGTGCGGTTGTCAGGAGGTAAGTAGTAGGCTGCCGGGTTGGACGGCGGCGACGCGGCTGAGCAGGGCGGATAAGAAGGAGCGGTTGGAAGCGAGAGCCGGGTTCGCGGCGGGCCGGCTGACCCCGCCCGAGACTCTGTTCCAGCAGAGGGTCGGTCGTAGCTGGTCGGTGGGCGGGGTGACAACCCAGGACCTTCCTGGCCGGAGTGCGGAGGGCTGCGCTGCCTGTGGCTGCGAGAACCCCGAGGGAGCAGCGTCTGCGCTGTCGGCGCCGTCGGGCAGGAGCTGAGAGGCTCCAGGGTGGGGACTGCTGCACCTGGCTCTGACAGGTGGTTGTGCGGGGTCGCCCCGAGGTTTGTGTCTTCACGCGGTTTCAGGGTCTGGGGGTCAGCCCAGGCGCGGATCTCCTAGGTGTTGCTCATCCAGGCGAGGATGTCGCTCCGAATCTTGGTGACGATGCTGCCCCAACGCCGATACCAGGCTGCTCGTTGGGAGGAGGACTTTTAAAACCTTCGTCTTTTATCTAATAGATCCTGCTGGATCTGTTTCTACTACACGTGCACTTTAATTTTGGTAACATGTGAGATTTAGGGAGGAGACTGCAGCAAAGAATTACTCAGGTTTATTCAGGGCTTAGATCTCCTCATCAACTGTCTGGAGTATGAGTGGCCAAGCCAAGCATGCTCAATAACTGGATCCGAACCAAATGGGTTCTAGCTAATACTAACCACGTGGCCTATTTAATGTCCCCTTAATGTGCTGGTCAGAACCTGAAAGAGGTGTGACAAGCAAGAGAAGAAATAAAAGCGTCTTAAATGGTGAGATCTCAGGAAATTCAGTGTTGAAGGAAAAACTTTAAAACAACTTTTTAAATGTTTGGACTAACAGTTTTTAAAATTTCGTTTAATTTTGATTTATGTCATGTCTTCAACACCGCTAGAGATTAATACGTTGGTGGGAGTTCGTTACAGTAAATTGAGATGTTTGGTGTTCTTTTTCTACAGCAGTCCAGAATGTTTCCCAGAAAACCGGAACTGTTCTGTGTTGCCATAGAGAGGATAATAAAGATGAGATTCAGATGTGCCCTTGTTGGGTGTGCATGGTGGGATTTTTTTAAAACCCTTTCCTATTTCCACATATAGGAGTGAAGCGTTGTTTTTATGCAACTGTAGCTGTTCAGCAGTACCAAGCCTATCCCTTTTAGAAGTGCACTGTGACCAAAAAAAATTAATAACTTAAATTTAGTAAGACGTTAAATTTTTGCCAGAAAAATGAAATCTTAAGAAATCTACCAGTGAAAAAATGTTAGTCACGCCTGTGGAGCTTTTGCTGAAGTACAGCTATTGTTTTATTCTTTGATTATGTCAACTTAGTTTTCTTTTCAGCTAATGGTAATAAGACAGGCATAAGTTGTTAGCTTATTAAACCTGTAGATGCTAATTAAGTTTTTGTCTTAAAGGTTTTGATTTGTGTTGTGCTTTTCTTTGCAGATCTCTGTATGGCTTTTTAATTTTAGTTGAAATTCTCTCCATGGCCTTTTGGAGTCCCTTGGTGTGTCTTCAGAGTAAATTTCAATTACTCCACATTTCATCCATGTTGGAGTGGCAGGATAAAGGAGGAACTGATTTGGGGTGAAAAGGTTAGATTGTACAACTTCTCTTTTGTGTTTCTTCCAACATGATTTTATTTATGTTTTACTTTTATATTATGCTTTTTGATTTGTCAAAGCCTTATAATGTTCCTTTTTGTCTTCAAAGAGTTTTTGACAGTTCTGAAATCAGGAATTGTGTTCTAATTCTTTTTGAAGGCCCATGTTACTCTATATAAACCAACCCTCATTTGTTAGCCTTCTCTATTAATAATGTGTTCTATAGCAGAGTATATTTTTCAGTTACCATAATTATTAGGCGATAGAAGTAAATACATCATTTGAACTATAATCACTTTATGTGTATAGGCCTGCTTAACCCCCAAAGTAAGTTATATAAGTTAGTTGCTAAGTGTTGTATTCTTCCCTGTGGTTAGTAACCTTTAAAAACTTCTCAAATAATGCTAGATGAATGAAACATATCCTTTCATTGCCTAATCATGTTCTCAAAATTCTCCCATAGTTTATAAAAAAGATAGACTCTGGAAGGTAGGTTAAAGAGCCTCTCCTCTGGTTCTTTCTTGCATTACCTGTGTTTCATGGTTATGGTTGCCTTCTAATTTGCATGGTAATGCCTCTGTTTTAGCTCCTGGTTAAGAGATTCTTGGTGTGTGCACCTGTTTACACTTATATAATGTGTGTTTTTGTATATTCTTGTATTGATTGGCAACTTTCCATTTATAATACAAGACTGAAGAAGAAAGATCAGAGGACTTTATACAAAAATAAATCCTTTATCAGAAGCAGAGGAAGTTTAAGGAATAGCTTAAATTACTTGCTTGGCGGTAAAGAGATGTTCATGTTCTTTTGGGATATCAAATCTTAATTCTCAGATACCTCCTTTTCCTCCACTGGCTTGGATAGTCTTGGTTGTTTGGTAAAAACATTGTTTTTGAGCCTTGAATGGGTAATTTGGGGGAAGCTATTGGCATAAAATGCTTTAGGTATACTCTAGCCAGTTTCTATGTAGACATACACTTAGACCCCATGGAATTACATATTAAACTCAGCTTACCTTAATCAGAGTGATCACAGGAAGGACTCAGGAATTTTGCTGTATCATAACGAATGATAATCATAAGATTTGAGAATGTTCTTCTCTTTGGTTGATATGATTAGAGATCTATCTTAGTTCAGGCTGCTGTAACAAGTTACCATAGACTGAGTGGTTTAAACGAACATTTATTTTTCACAGTTCTGAAGGCTGGGAAGTCTAAGATCAAGGTGCCAGCAAATCCGGTATCTGGTGAGGGACTGCTTTCTGATTGTATTTTCACATGGTAGGCAAGTTCTTTGGGTCTCTTCTTACAAGGGAACTAAGCCCATTCAGAGGGTTCCACCCTCATAACCTAATTACCTCCCAAAGAAGACCCCACTTCCAAATACCATCCCATTTGGGATCAGAATTTCAACATACGAATTTTGAGGGACACAAACATTCAGTGCATGGCAATATCAGTTAGGAGAAAGATAGATTTGGGTTGGAATACACCACCCAAATCTATAATAGTATTTGGAGAACAATTAAATAAATTTCTATTTCAGATGACAGAGTTTTTACACATTGGAATTTTGTGTAAAGTAAGTAAATTTTGGCTAATAAGCTCCAAGTTGTTGAGTTCATGGCCAGTAGGAAAGATACCATTGAAGAAAATTATTGTTTGCCGATTTCCTAAAGTATATATTTGTTATGTTGGCAAAGGTTTTTAAATTTATCAGTGCTTTAGAGGCATCTCCAGATATCAGTTAATTTGTCGAGTTCTTAGATAAAACTTTCAGTCCTGAGACTGATGATTATTATTTTAAATACAGGAAAATGGCTTGGATAGAAAACTTCTATTTTCTTTCTATGAGAGGAAGTCTGTTGTATTTTCAGAATTATTATTTTTCCATTTATTGTGCTTAGAAATATTGACTGGAGATGGAGAAAACTGGGTTTTGTGCCAAAGACTCTACTTAGCTTTAGGCACCTTTCATTTGGGTCTGTTCCGCCAACTAGAGCTCTCTGTAGGGGCCTGTCATGCTCCTTATATGTGGATATGTGTGACATAGGTGACACAGGTCAAGTGGGCACAAAAATGCTTAGGGATGAAATGATACCTAATTTTTCAATCACGATAGGATGTTTAAGGTTATAAACCATATTAATATATTTAAAATCTAATTTAAGAATAGTTTTCCTTCATGTTTACAATGTTATCTTCCCTTATCTTATTTCATTGGCATCAGTTTTTTTTTTAAGTCCATCACGTGTAACGACTGAAAAGCAGCATTACGATTTATGGCAGGGAACACAGTGGAATTTATAATGTGACAAGGTGATAATAACCAAGACTGTCAAAATATGCCAGCCATCCTCTGTAATTAGGCTCATTTGTGTTCTTAAACTTGAGATCTTGAGATGCCTGTATAAAAATACCATTTTCTTCTGCTTGCTTACTGGCAGTCTTATGTGTTTTTACTTCATTGTCATATGTACTGTAGCAGTGTTATGCTTTCTAATCTAGAATTGGTAAGGTTTATCTTGCTTATTGAAGCCTATCAAAGTATATTCAGACATTTTCCAGGGAAATGTATCAGTTTTCGTATGAACTGATTGGCAAGAAGTGATGTTAGGTTGCAATGTAAATACTGAGATTTTTTTCTTAATTACAGCTTTTATAATTAGAACACAGACAATCTGTGGGACTGTATGGCTTTTACAATTAAAAAAATAATTTCCCAGATCTTATTCTTGATAATCTTTTTAATTGGAGCTGACTAGCATACATTTTCTAACCAAAGCGTAAAATTTAAAGGAAAAATAATCAGCAGAATCAACAATAGTCACAAAATATAGTAATACGATGATTAGGAAACAGAGAACCAGTTCAAGTAAACCCAATAAGATGTGGAAAAAAATAACTGAAACAAATTGTTCAAAACCTAACAATAGTAGGGGTGTGTGTGGTGGCTCTCGCCGTAATCCTAGCATTTTGGGAGGCTGAAGTGGGAGGATTTCTTGAGCCTGAGCAACAAAAAAATTAGCTGGACATGGTGTTGCAGGCCTTTAGTCCAGACAGAAGGTTGAGGCAAGAGGATTGCTTGAGCCCAGGAGTTTGAGGTTGCCATGAGTTATGATCATGCCACTGCACTCTAGCCTCAGCCTTGGTGACAGAGCAAGACCCTGTCTCTTGCCTGGGGGTGGGAGTGAGGGCAGGGAGCCAACAATAATCTATAAGATTGAGAAAGTTGAGCCAGATTAAAGCAAGTGATTTAAAGATATGGCCTAAAAGTAAACTAAGAAGAGATGAGTTTGGGAAATTACACACTGATTTGGGAAATTGGAAATTGGGATATATGGATTAATGAGGCTCAGGTGGACCACATTTGTTTCATCTTAACTAAGGAACAAATAGATGCTCAGTATATTCTCCAACCAAGTTGATGAACTGATAGAAACAGGGAAAAAAACTGTGAATGTGAGACATTGAGGGATTTCTTAATCCAAGGTATAACCATTTTTTGCTACAAAAAATAATTATTAATAGAAAAATAGTTACTACTGTCTGTGCCTACCATATACTACACGTTGTGAGATACTTTATGTATATTTGCCTGTAAAACTTAAGATAGTACTGCAAGTTGGGATTATTATTCCATTTTACAAAATAGGAAACTAAGGCTGAGGAGAGGTCCCTGTTCAGAGTATTTTTTTTTTTTTTTTTTTTGAGACAGATTCTTTCACTGTTTGCACTCCTGAGCTCAAGCAATCCTCCTGTCTCAGCCTCCCAAGTAGCTGGGACTACAGGCATGCGCCACCATGCCCAGCTAATTTTTTCTATGTATTTTTAGTTGTCCAGATAATTTCTTTCTATTTTTAGTAGAGACGGAGTCTCGCTCTTGCTCAGGCTGTGTTCGGAGTCTTAAAGCGAGTCTTAAAGTGGGTCTCATCCGATACCCAAACAGAGTTGTCCTTTGATGTCTAAGGGGGATTGATTCCAGGACCCCCTCAGGATACTAAAATTCATGGATGCTTAAGTCTTTTGTATAAAATGGCATAATATTTGAACATAACCTACCTTTACCCTTCTGGTGTACTTTAAATCATTTCTAGATTATTTATAAAACTTAATACAATGTAAATGCTATGTAAATAGTTGTTACATTGTATTGTTTGGGGAATAATGACAAGAAAAAAGTCTGTACATGTTCAGTACTGATGCAACCATCCATTTTTTTTCCTAAATATTTTTGATTTGCTGTTAATTGAATCCACAGATGTTGAATCCATGGATGCAGAGGGCCAACTGTGTTCTGTTATCCTAATAGATTTTATGTAACAACTTTCTAGAAAACAGTGAAAAGAGGTAACAGTAATAGTTTTTAAAAGCCCTTGGGTAGCTTCTAAGAAGGGAAGAAATGTTGCATTAAGAAAAGTGAGAATTCAGTTACCTACAAGTCCTTATTGGGTTAAATGTGTTAAGAATAAAGAACAGATTAGAGGCTGAGGCAGGAGGATTGCTTGAGGTCAGGAGTTCGAGACTAGCCTGAGCAAGAGCGAGACCCCATCTCTACTAAAAATAGAAAAAAAAAAAAAGCCAGTCAACTAAAAATAGAAACAAAAAATTAGCTGGGCATGGTGGCTCACGCCTGTAGTCCCAGCTACTCTGGAGGCTGAGGCAGGAGGATCACTTGAGCCCAGGAGTTTGAGGTTGCTGCCAGCTAGGCTGATGCCACGGCACTGTAGCCCGGGCAACAGAGTGAGACTCTATCTCTGTCGCGGCCCGGATTGCAGAACGGGGGATGGACACAGAAAGAAACACACAGACACACACAAGGACATATAAAACTGCAGTCCCCAATTTGTACCAGTCGTTTTATTTATATACTTTTTCTATGTCCGGCAGCTACTTCCTGGTACGTGACTACCTTGGGCACCTTGAGGAAAACACATTTTCATTCCTTCCAGACGGTTGCTCAATGGAAGCACACGTTTGCATCGTAACTTC